TATATATATATATATATATATATATATATATATTTGCAGCTATATTGTAGTAGCCTAAATTAACAAAGTGGACGACTACCAAGGGTAAGGACCAAAACACATTATATTTGTATTTTTAGTGACTAAAACTAGCAACTTCTATGTATTGGGTCAGAGCAACATATGTATAACCATTAACGAAAGAAGATCACAGGACTGACATTAATTCAAAAAATAAAATAAATGAAGTAACAGAAAAATTGTGTTTTCCCCCCCTTTTTTTTATAAAGGCAGTAAGGAGAATAGAAATTGGAATTTCAATTCCTTCAAACCCTTTATTAGGTCGACCTATAGTTCACAAGCTAATAATGTTGGTCACTGTCCACGAGTTCAACTTATAATCAGCAGAAGAAAAGGAAGTTTTTATTCCTTTTGACAGTTTGCCCTGATATTGAAATTGGAGTTTTCTCATCCTATATATATTTCCCCCTTTTCCTTTCAGGGAAGAAAATGTGAAGGTAATCAAGGAAAAGTAATGAAAATTGAATTGGTTTATTGGTCTATATAAAATCATGAGTATCTCTGCTACAGCCACAATAAGGCTAGTTATTATCTTGTTAATATATGGTATATAAAACTCCAGTCAGAGACTCAGAAATTCCTTAAAAAAATTTCGGACAACATTTTTTAATATATCGCTCTTGTTTTGGATTAGCAACTAACAAAAAAGTGAAAATAAAAAACTAAAAAGAGTACGTTTATGTCATTAGAATCACTTCTCGAATTCTTGTCTATAAAGAAGGAACTTATACATTGGACCCCATCTGCAAATCTTTAAATAGTCTATTGAGCCTGAAGGACCAACTTATTTATTACATATATAATATAATATAATCCGGTCTTAATTATTATTACCAAATAAAATCTGGTCTTATTAATAAGTAAAGACAAATCATTAGATGAAAGAAAAGCGGTTCATATAATTATTTTTAATTAATTCTATCATAAATTCAAATTGTATTTCAAATATTATTTATTTTAAGTTAGTGTTATATTCAATGTTAGTTATAAATAAATGTATGAAAAATAGAATTAACAATAAATGAGAGACATGTATAAAAGAAATTTAATTATGAATAACTTTAAAAACTAACCCATGTTTACAGTTGAATATTTAGTAATTAATTTATCATCTCCCTTGGGCTGTCAATTTCTTCTCTTTTATTGCGAGACTGTGACACTTTGAAGAGTATACTCATGGGTTCAAATTTTCAACAGTACTATTGGAGGGTCCCTTATTCATGTGTAGTTCAATTTAGGTAGTAACATACACACAATATATGTACACCAACTCTCATAAATAGGCATATGGATTTGCATTGCATATATCACAGTTTTCTTGTTAGGGTGTCTCCTCAGGTGATTTTTCATAATTCACAGCTACTCTTTAAACTGTGTCTGCCAGCTGCAGCTATAAATCTAGGGGCACATTTCTGTGATTCTCCTGAATGACGAATTTACAATTGAGCTTTGAAAGAGACCACAGAAATCACGTGAAATAGGTGTTGTGTCTCCATAATGTGCAAACGAGTCCATTATCTCCTTGGGCCTCGCTCTAGCCGCTGATTTTAACTCATTGATAGTTTCATACAGATCGAAGTCGTATAATGTTTACATGCAAAAATATAATACTGATTACTTTTACAAAATTTGCGGCATAATTTATTTTGCACTGGCAAACAACTAGTAGTTTCTATGTACTGTTAGTATGACTTTGCAAAGAAAAAAAAAATTACACTATCTACCAATTAAAAAAATCATAATTAGTATGACTTTTAAGATAATAATTATAAAAATAAACAAACTTATTATATTTGACAATATTTGTGATTAAATAATAGTATAAATCTATTTATACTATCTGTACACAGTCTTTATACTCGATTAGAAGTTTCTTTCCAATAATTTGTATATTGAAAGTCAACATGAATTTTCAAGATTACATTGATTTTAATTATAAAAAAAACAGTCACGCATGATATAAGCTTGTCATATAATAATCTCCAAGTTCGTACATTTAAAAATGGACATAAAATTTATGCCGATCAAATCGGAAGTTCGTTACCAAAATCTAATTAATGTCCTTTTTGGAAAATAAAGAAAATCGAGAGTGAAAAAGAAACATAAATAAGGATAATTTTATTTTATTTGGTGATAAAGAAAAACTGATTTTTTAAAACAATTTTTTTCTTTTATTCTTCAATTCTAATTTTAAGTATTTTTTCCTGTAGTTTCATTACTCTCAAACAAGTAACAACCAATGGGTAAAGGTAGCTACCAATACATGAAATCAATCTGTTCTTTTTCATTTCTGCTAATAAAATGGAAATGAGAGAGCAGAGAACGAATATTTGCTAATTGCAATGCAAAAGAAGAAATAATTAATTAAAATATACAATAAAAGAGATGAAAAATTGAAGAAGCTCCGCTGCTAGAAACCTAAGTGAAGTCCAAAAATATTGTGACAAGAGATGGCTTTGACAAATGGATGGATCCTGCAACAATTTTACCTTTAGCTGCAACAATTACCCACAAAACAAGTGCCTAGAAGTCTTGTTGAACCTCCTTTCGAATTCCATCGGTCATCTTTAAATTCAACAAATATGGTGATTGCGAGAAATTCTGAGATAAATCAGCTTTTACTTTCACACGGTCATACCAATGGTTGAAGTAAAAACTAAACTTCTAAAGACTATACCTATAGTATTCTTGCAATAATTTTGGACTGCAACAACTTGAAGATCAGGTTTATTTTGATGCCAGCAGCAAGAACCTTCATTTATAAGCATTGACGGGTTGGACTAGGTGCTGTGTGGCATTTCATAGTATCAACTCCAGTGTCAACAGTACACTATCTCACAAGAAACTGCACAATTTGTGCTTAATGCAACCGGGAACAAGGTAATGCAATACTTTTTTTTGGAATTCTTCAAGTGTGTATGTTTTCTGAAGGTAACATAATGTCAGAGCATATGGGCTTTACGGCCTATATAGTCACACAACAGAAAAACTAGCAAAGGACACGTAATTTGAATTGATTAAAACTCAAAAGTCCAAAAGTTGATAGAACATATACTGTCCATCTTCAAAAAGGGATGACAATTTAGGCGACAAGATCGACTTCATCTCGATCAGGGGAAACCACATCTAATCTCATCATGCTCCTATATTGATCAGGAATGGGAGCCCCAGCCTGCACACAGAGTTCCACCACAGCAGGAGCCTTCCCATAATATCTCTTTAGATTGTTATTCAGAGCAGGCCCATTCAGATCCTCCACATGCCATACATAATTTGGACCCACAAGGTCATCTATTGTTGCCTCTTGCCACGCATGTAAACCATTTCGAGACTGATGCTTTGAAGCCTTGCACATTCTCAACTTATGTCCTTTGGGACCAACCTGAATCTCTGGACAATAGCCACAGGTATTCACAGTATACTTCTCCATCATCTTCTTTGCACCTGATATCATCTCAATCCACGAGTCCAGTGTATGTTTACTTAAATCCCTTAATTTGCTCCTTTCTTCATCATTCAATTGATTCAGATGGTTTACGTTGCTCTCCAATACATTATGGACCTTCTCTACAGGTTGGGTCAACATAGAGGATGAATTCACAAAAGGTTTGTCATTTTCAAAGGAATATTTTATTTTAGTTTCATCCTCTTTCACAACTGATTCAAAATCAACAATTCTTCCTTCAATACAATACACAGGTTTTGTTCTCCTTTTAGTAGGATATTTTTCAAGGTCTAGACCTGCTTGTACACAGAGTTCAACAATGGCAGGTAAACGGGGAACACTGAACCTTTCATCATGCCCAACTCTTGGCTTACCCACACGGTCATAAAGATGAAAGCATTTAGGATAAGAAACCACATCTCGAACCCCTCCCCTTGTCCAAACATGCATTGCATTCCGCGAAAAACTCTCAGGTCCAGTACATGTTCGAATTTCATGACCAACATAACCAATGTGGACCTCATTACAAAGCCTGATAATATGAAATCACCATTAAACGTGAAGCCAACAAGTACAAGCCAATGAAATTGTTGGATTTTCACTACAAAACAGTATAAAGCCCAAATATATAACCCCAAAAGTTCAGGAGTATATACTATGGCTGGTTCTAGTAGGCCCTTTCCCATACAGCCCATGGTTATTGTCATCATCAAATACACATCGGTACATGATCTCTTAGTCTTCCTACATAACCAATGTGGACCTCATGATGCTCCAAACGAAATTAACTTCTAAAGGAACACAGAAACACACTCAAATACCAAATCGAAACCCATAAGTTGTTCAATCCCCAAGTCTTAAAATTTTATATACGATTTTAGTCCTGTTAGGGTAAACTTTTTTGTTAGCACTTAAAAAGAAGAAAAAAAAAAGATGAATTGAGTTTCTCAAATAAGTTAAAATCAACTTGCATACTCGTCTAATTTCTCCAAAAGTTGAAAGACATGAGTTAATTTTAACTTATGAGAGAAGTTCGATTTATTTTACTTTCTTAATTTCTTCTCTTATAATTACTTTTGAAAAAAATTATCCAACCAAGATTAATGAATAAACTAACAAAGGAAAGAAAAACCAAATGGAACAAATTCAACCGGAAGTGTTGGCCTAGTTGTAAGAGTTGGAACAGTAGGCATATGATCCTAACTTCAAATTCTGTTATGCAATCAACAACATTCAATTTTGCTAAGCAATACTCACAATCTCTCTCTCTCTCTCTCTCTCTCTCTCTCTCTCTCTCTATATATATATATATATATAATGTTAAATATATTTCTTTATTATGAATTTTAATTATATAAAATAAATAATTATACTAGATGTTCCACTCGCTAAATTGTTAGTTTAGAATATTTTACATTTGACATTATAATTAGAGTTAATCACTTATACACTTTCAGTGTAAAAACTATATATATATATATATATTAAATTTAAATCACACTTACAGAAGTCTATAACGCAATTTTAACATCAATTTTCCTAGCAACATTTCACTCATTTTGTGTGAAATGCAATTGTGCAAAACCAATCACCAGCAAGACAAAAGTAGAAAACATAATTTCTCAATTAGAAGCAATTTCTACGTCAGAATTGAGTAGCAATAAAAAAACTAAAAAGCAAAACAGAAACATGAAACAAATCAATCAACTTAAATACCGGCAGCGCAAAACGGGAATGACTCGGAGGAGTTGACTCAGACCGAAGAGGAGCGAGCCGCGAGCTTGGTAAACGCGACGAGCTACCTCCACCAGCTCCGGCACCAACAAGCCGTTGTCCGGTGGTTCTGCCAAAACCCTACATGGCTGCGCCTTTCGCGCTTCTCTCTCCGCCTTCGCTCTCTCAATCAGAACCTTCATCGGCGTCACGTACGCCTTCCTCTCCGAGTTTCTCCGCCGAGGCTTCGGCACGTCGGAGTATGGGAATCCATCGTCAACGGACGGCGGCGGCGCCGGCCAAGTCTCCGACGCGAAGGATAGGGTTATCTTTAAGCGGTGCGGTAGTTGCTTCGGGAGAGAAAGCTTCGGAAGGATGACGGTGGCGCGCATGTCCTCGCCGCCTTGCCGGGAAATGGTGTTCTGAAGGAGCGGAGATTGACGTGGCGGAGCCACGGCGTCGTTTTGGGGGAACTCTGAGTTTCGTGAAGCGACCGAGGTCCATAGAGAGGGGTAAAGCCGTGAAGTAATGAGCCCATACCCAAACTGGGTTTGGTTCTTCAGTCCATGAATGGGGTTTCTTGGGTTTGAGAAAATTGAATTTGGGCCTAGGTGATGTACTTGACCAAAAGAAAGTTGCATGACCACACAAAAAACCAACGTATCATGTTCATTCGGATTTTGATCTCTTATTAAAATTAGTATTTTAGCATATAAAATATATATAAAAACAATTTATTTAGACCTGATTTACCATTGTTCATTGGTCCAACTGATATTACGGTTTATCCTCAAGTTTCAATGTTTGATACAAAAGTCAAAACAACAAATATAAAAGTAAAATACAACTATACCATTAATATCATCATATCAACTTCTAAAGCATAACAACTCAACTTGTATCATTATTATATAACCTACTATCATTTAAACTTAACATATATTAAGCACATCAACATATTATAGAAACAACATAACAACTCCACATTTAGCACAACTTTCAACTTAACATCTTTCAACATGTTAATACAGTTTATAGACAATACAACTTGTCAAGAAAATAATTACATAACAACTAAACAACACATCAACTTATAACACAATGTGTCATCATTAATATCAAGTAAGAGATCTCTTACAATGTGGTGATTAATTTAAGTGATTTAACCTGACCAAACCAACTTAATAATGTAATTTTTTTAGATTTGCTAGATTAACAACAAATTTGGATATCAAATCCACAAAATAACATGATTTATTGAATTTCACCACTTAGATTAGGAAAGTTCAGTATTCCTATTGGGAATGGAACAACTTGGGTGTAAGCCTACATGATCTTAGTATGCATAACTAAGCCTAAATGGAATTAACATATCAACTACCCTCCAAATATTGCATCCTTTTTCAATACTCGGTTGTGGATTTTGACCCTTGATTTTGTACCTTACTTAGTTTGTCACTTTTACACTAGTATGGCTCAATCTTACCCCTATACAGTATCAACTAAGGGTGTGTTTGTTTTACAGTTACGTTTAACATAACTGAAAACCAACACACCACTTGCTTTGACTTTTTTACATCGGAAAGTGAAAAAAGTCCATTCAACAGGGTTTTGAACAATTTTCCAAACACATACTAAGGACTTATAGGAAACTCAATACTCCACTTCAAAAGACAACTATACTCAAGAAGAGATTTTCAACTAGGCTCTCAAGGCACTACAACACCATATTCTTTCAATGGAATATTTATCTTTTAAAACAATATCTCTCCTCTAATCCTAATTTAATCATCACAACTCAATTACATACATTAAGCATTCACAACACAACTTCTTTCAACACTACACATCTTATCATCATGCAACTCTATTATTGATCAACTTTCAACATATTTAACTCTAAACATCGTCATGTCACACAACTATTATATTGAATTCAACATTTAAAATCACTAAGTAAGGTTTTTCATTCATTAGGGCCCCGCTTGACGCTGGTGAGACAAAGAGCCTCTAGCTCGCCCACGCCTGACATCATACTACTTGCACTCGATGGGAATGAGATAGAGTTTTTTAGTACACCACGCCTAGGGTCGCAAAACTCATGTTCAACATCCTTCAGGTAGAGAGCCTTTTCCTCACCCACACTCGATGCCACAAAATCTATGCCCGACATCATCTAGGCAAAGAGTCGGTAACTTGATCACGCCTGACGTTACTCAACCTTGGCTCAACATCCCCAAGTTAGAGAGCTCCAAAGGTAATCACACTTGACGCCTCTCGATCCATGTTAGACATGACCAAATTAGAGAGCTCCCTTCTAACTTATGTTCGACACAAAAAGTTGCATTTGGTGCAATGAAGTTGCGCTTGGTGTGATGAAATTGTGCTTGGTGCAATGACGATTTTTACACTTGGTAGAATCACAATTTGGCTCAATTCACTTGAAAATCAGTCCAAAACAAGCATCTCGGGCATAACAACATAATTATATATCATCAACTACTCAATTGCAACCATAAAAGCAACATGCAACCACAATATAACACAATCCAACAATCTCCTCCTCCTCCTCCTACTCAACAATAACCAACCAAAAAACATCTCATGTTCACATTTCAATCGAACAACACAACTATAAAATGATAATTCCAAGCAACAATAATAATAATTATAAATCAACAAGTTTCCCTTACCTTTGATCACCAAGAAAGAGGTAGAAGATGAAAGAAAAATTGAAAACTTTAAGTTCTCATACAACAACTTCTCACTCAAATTTTTAGCTTTAGAAACTTTAAATCTAGGCACAACTTCTCAACTAACCCCAGGGAAGGATTGTAGAATGCTCTTGTGGAATCAGAAGAAGAAGAAAATCTCTTTAACTCTAGAGTTCCTTTCTCTAAATTTCTTAAAAAATGAATTTATAAAGTTTAAACCTTAAGAAACTTTTATATATCTTCCTTTAAACTTTATTAACTTTGACCTTAATTTAAAATAACTCATAAACAACTAAACTCATAATAATTTTTTAATCCTTAAAATTTTGCAAAAATTAAACAACTAAACACACAATCAGTTTAATGAATAAATCAACAAGCATTAAAAAAATTTCACAGTGTTATATTAAACACTTATAATATAAACTCTAACATAATAAAAATTTATTGAAAATGATTTTAATTTATTTTTTTTTTTTCCAAATAGGCCTTGACATTTTGATACTAAAAATATAAGGATCTAGTTAATTACCAGAGATAATTTAGCATCCATTAGCAAGCTTATTTAACCAAAAAGTAAACCCTCAATTTCATCTATAAAGCATTTCCTTTATTACTTCCTTCAAGTAAGAAAATTATATAAATAATTATTCAAATATAATAAATCATAATAAGTAATCCTTCAAGTATTAAAAAAATTAAATTAATCCTTGGATGTTAGAGAATTGTACTAACTCATGAACTAAATTGATGACTATTCGGAATAATTCTTTATATAATTTTATTGCTTTAAGGATTAAATAAGATAGAGTGGGAAACTAAATTGATGGTTTAGAAAAGGGGGGCTTCAGCCCTTTTTAAGTAACTAGTAATTGCTTATTCTTCGGATAGAAAAAAGGAACCGTTATAGCAAAAAAAAAAAAAAATTAAAAAGAGGTAAAAAAAAAGAAGAAAAAAAGATAGAAACGAACACAATTTTGTTTTTAAATTGTACACATTGGGTTCAACAGTAGAATTTTAGTCATTACTCACTACAGAATTTCTCTTGTCTAGGAGAAAAATAAAAGTAGACAATTAGCGATTATAAAAAAAAAAAAAAAAAAAAGCAACTTCTTCGCATTGTTAAAAAGGAAAAATAAAAATAACTCCTTTTCTAATTTTCTTCTATTCCTTTTTACAAAATTTAAGCTTTGTATAAAAAATGATATAGCAATTACTCTTTGCACAACAAAAGTGTGACCATGTCGGTTAACCATGATGAATGCGGATGGAGTTCCTCTACACATTTTGAGGGGAAAAAACTAGATAAGCTAATCTGATTTTAATACTTCAAATCATAATAAAAATAAACATTAAATGAAAATCTATTAAAATATGAATGCAGAACTTGTGATCCATCCAATATTCTCCCACTTCAGAGGAAGAGGGTTATAGAAGAGTGAGGAATCGGTGAATTCATAACTAGATAATCTTATTGTTGCGGAAAAGTTGGATGAATCAATTCTTAAAAAAAAGTCAAACTAATCTGAACAGTTAATTATTCTCTAATTAATCTTATTATAAGGAAAAATATTGAAAACTACTAGCACACTTCACGTTCAGTTGCACAATTTGCTCCAAACCATTCTTGTGTTTCTCTCTATCTTCTTCTGAATCTTCTGACCATGCTCTTGGGAAGTTCTTCATCCATCTATGCTTCTCTCTCTGATAGAGCAAAGCTTGTTCCTTCTCTGTCTTCCTCTGCACCTTTTTTCAACTCTGTGAAGGGTGTGAGATTTTCCAGGAGAAATGTGGGTTATGGGGTTGTGGCTATGGCCTCAAAGGAGGCTAAGAACCAACAGGTTTTGGATATAGCGTTTGAACCTTTTGAGGAAGTGAAAAAAGAGCTTCTTGTCATCCCCACACTGCCCCATGCATCACTGGCAAGACAAAAATACTCTGATCAGTGCGAGGCTGCACTCAATGCACAGATCAAGTGAGTTTCATCATGTTTTATTGTTTTCTATGATATTAGTTAGTCCTTTTCTCATTTCTCTCACACATTTGACATGGATGCATGCTTAGTTAGCACAGTTATTAGGATGACATTGTTAATAAATATAATGGGGTTCTTGAGAAATTATAGCAAGATTTTTGGAAATGAATGATTGTAGTAAGATTTATTTTTTTCTTTTTTCTGTTGTGTGAGGGACTGAGGGTTAATTTGAGGAACATAAGTGTTAATTAATTTGTATTATGTTCATGGAAACATCTTATGCTATTTTTCTTCTTCTCTTGATTCAGTGTGGAATACAATGTCTCCTACGTGTATCATGCCATGTATGCCTACTTCGACAGAGACAATGTTGCTCTGAAGGGATTGGCCAAGTATTAACCTCCAAAATCTTAGCTTATTTTGTAATTTGAATTTTAGCATGACCTGAATTTGATTGTAAATTACATACAATTTTGCAGATTTTTCAAGGAATCAAGTGTGGAGGAAAGACAACATGCTGAGATGATGATGGAATATCAGGCATTTTGTTACATCATTGACTTACATTTCATAGCAGTAATTTTTCTAGCATTAGTTTTGTAATTTTTTTTTCTTGATGATATTACCAGAATAAGAGAGGAGGCAGGGTTCAGCTGCAGACAATGCTGATGCCATTTTCTGAGTTTGATGACGAAGAAAAGGGTGATGCATTACATGGTAATTTTTTATTTTTTTTTTTGTATATTGTATTTAATAAATATTGAAGTTTTAAATCTGTTTTCTTTTTAGCTTTTACCTTGTTGGCTATTGTGTAATGAGTGTTGTTTTGTTCTATTATTTATGAATTTGGGTGGTTTCTCTAATTTTTCTTACTATTTTTCCTCGCTCGTTCTCTCAGCAATGGAACTTGCATTGTCTTTGGAAAGGCTGAATAATGAGAAGCTTCTAAATTTGCACAGCGTATGTCACTTTTATAGTTCTATTTTCTCATTAGTTTTGTCAATTCAACCTGAATCTTCTAATTTCACTGCCCCCCTTGTGGAAAATTTCAAATTTCAAGTACATGTCTTTTTGTTTTGCTTTATTTATACAGTGTGACAATGTTGTTTAATAACAATAACTAGTATTTTATCACCACTGCAGTTAGCAAATGAAAACAATGATGTGCAATTGGTTGACTTTCTTGAAAGCACGTTTTTGGTTGGTCAGGTAGTGTGATTCTATCTATTGCTGTTAGGAGTAGCTGAGTATAATGGGAAAAAATGTTCAAATTAATTTTTTTTTTTTTTTTGTTAAGGTGGAAGACATTAAGAAGATCTCAGAATATGTGGCTCAGTTAAGAAGGGTTGGCAAAGGACATGGTAATTTGTTACTTGCACCTTATACTTAGTGGTGAATTAAAGTACTATATTAATTACTGTTGGATTTGCAGGTGTTTGGCACTTTGATCAGATGCTCCTTAATGGAGATGTAGCTGCATGATTTATCTACAATATTTCCCATTAGCATTTAAGCAGAAAACTTTATTCCCATGAACTCAGATGCATATTTTCAACAATCTCGTTACTGTTTTTGATTTGTCCTAGTTTTCTTTTATTGCTTTTATTTGAAATGTTAGTCTAGTCAAATTAGTTAGGTTTGAATCTCAGTAAATGTGAGGCTTCTCCTTTTGCATAAATGTGTTTAGTCATTTGAACAAAGATGGTATATGTTACTCCAATATTAGATGATTATTGCCAATGCCAAATGCAAACTAATGAAGCTATTCATTGAGCTTGAACACAGTCTTTTAGTAACTTATAAGTAGAAATCCAAGTAGAAGTTGCTATTATTACTATCCCTCGTGTCAAATTTAAGGCCTCACGTCTCATCTCTCAACCTCGCCCCCTTCAATGATGTTAAACGACGATCGTTGCCAAAATTCTAAACGCTAGTCACTTCTGATTCGGAATGGTTGACTTATAATTTATAAAATTCCGATTCTAATTTTAGTTCTTGTATAATTGTATTTAAGTTTTTTTTATCTTTGATAAAAAAAAAATCAATCTCAGGTCTCATTTATTTTTGTTTTCATGTCCTATTTTTTTATTAGTAAATTGTCATCTTATTTTTAATCTGTGTTTTTGCTTTCAAAGATTTGTATAAGAACAAAAAAAATGTTTTTGGCCTTTTTTTTTCTCACAAAAGTATATTGTTCAAAAAGATCAATTAATTAAAGGTACTAAATCATAGGAACTAAAAAAATGCTAACTAAAGAAATATTTCATGTTTGTTAGATGTATTAAACAGTATTAAAATATAAATTCTTTTTTAAATGCATGTAATATTTATAGGATATTATTAAGTGTATATGTAATTATTGTGATTGTTAAAAGAAGTAAAAAATAATTATAATCAACCATGTTGCAAATTGACTAAGTGAATTCTTATAGAATATTGGCGGATAACCAATTTTTAGAAGTATTGAACTAAGTTGATATTTTTTGACAAATATTTTTTTATAGTATTCAAACTTTGACCATATGTTTAAGTAACAAATATGTACTTGTCATCTTTACGATATTCAATAAACAAAAACTTAATTTTTTTTTAAAAAATAATTCATATATTAAACACAAATTATGGGGTTTTAATTGTGATTTTTGCTTACAATTTATAAGATATTTACTATTTAATATGAAAACAAATAAAAATTAAATTAAATTTGTATACAATTTCAATATCCTAATAATTCATAAAAAAATATTTTTAATATGAATTTCAAAATAATTATTATGAAGTTACTAAACTTACCACCTATATTAATTTAAAATTTGACGAGAATATTTTTACACTGAGTAGACAGAATTACAGTACTCAAAAAACGAAAAGTGATGTATGAAATACATTATTTTTTAAAGTTTTTATTCTTAGGTTAAAAGATAAACCACGTGTGAAAAATACGAACCACAAGCTATTAGTTATAGTAAATTGCATATTTGAAAATCTTCTGCATGGATATTTATAAATAAAAAATTAATACATTAATAAGTCCTATATTTTTTTTTCGAGAATTTTTAATGAAATCTATAAACTAAAAAGTTTTGTAATTACATCTTTGATTTTTTATAATTTATTTTTAATTAAGTATTTAGAGATATTAAAATAACTTCAAATGTTATTTTTATGGTATTTTCAAATTGCTACAAAAAAATTTTTTGACATAGATTAAAAAACCGTAAAAAAAATTAAGGACTGAATTAAACTTTTAAAATTGAAGACTTAATTTAAAATTTTCAAAAGGTAATGCTATGTACTAAACCAAAAAACAATTAATTTGTAAGGCCTTAAGTCTTAAAATTATTTTACAGAAGTGTAGATTCTTAATCGTTCGCAATATCTTCAAAGTTAAGGTGAATAAAGTTGATAGTATTGTAGGTTTTTTATTATACCACTAACTTTAGCAAATACTAAAGATTTCCTCTTCTAGGTGGTAGAATGAAAAGTGGGATTTTGATTATATTTTGGATCACATAAAAGCTCACCTTGTTAGTTGGAAGACCAATATGCTTAGTCATGCAAGAAATGTGACTTTAGCTAAGTTAGTGCTTAATTTCATACCTATTTATCTTAAGCGAAACTTTTGATTGCTTAGTAGTGTTTGTGATGAAATTGATAAGCTCACAAGGTAATTTATATAGGGCTCTTCTTCCAACCATTAGGTCAAGTGAGACATTATTGTTAAACTCAAATCTCATTGTGCTCGGGGTATTTGAATTGTTAGAAAGGTGAATGTTGCACTTCTTGGAAAACATGTTTGGGCTTCAGTTAATGAGCCCAACAAGTTTTGCGTTTCATTGCTAGCTAACAAGTATCTCAAAGGAGAGTCTATTTTCTACATCTGTGTCAATCTTGGTGATTTCTATTTGTGCTCCTTTATTATTAAGGCGACACCAATTCTTTAATATGGCTTTCGATATAGAGTAGGGCAAGGCCATTTCACTATTTAGTTTGATTGGTGGAGCACAGATGACGCTTTTTTATCAATTTGTTGACTATACCCATGCGAATGATTTAAATTTGTAGCTTTACCATGTTAATAATAATCGTTCATGAAATTTGAATTTTATATCTGTCTAAAGGACACACTAGTAATCTTCTCGTATCATGAAGGTCGAACGAGAGCTCCTAGCGAATATTCCAGTGAGGGGGCATGGTACTTGCAAAAAGGTACTCCGACGCTCAAGTAAGGACAAACACGAATATCGATAATAATTAATAAACAGTGACATTACCTCAAGATGTGAACTATTTATAGTGACATTAATGGACTCTACCCTCTATGGGCCCTATACTAAGATTACCAGATTAGGTAATACACCCTTAATTGACTTACACGCATGATAAACCTTTAGTCACTACTTAGGGATGATTATTGGTTCCATAAATTACTTCACTCATGTCCTTTCGGCCATCGGGGTTGCCGATCAGGTGTCGGCAAGAAACGTCGAGTTTAGCTGATCTGGCACAACTCTTTTTGGCCCTTGACTGGGCCGATTTGGTGTTGGTGGCTAATATGCCTTCATGAAGACAATCCGAGTGTAGTCTATTCGGCCACATGTTGTGCCGAACGATGTGCCGAAGCCTACCTGTACAAATTTATTATCAACACAATGTACAAATAAGGTTAAAGCTTTCATTAGCCGTAACTTTTTGGTTAAAGACATGTAGGATATGATCATTTGGGATTCTCCTTTTGATGGATAGTACACTACCAAGTTTGCTTACCAATGGATTACACAAGCTCGATTTACTCATAGTACTTTGCTTAATGTTGAATCTTGTGGTCTACTCCTTTTCCAAGAAAGTATTAAACACTTTTTATGGCTTGCTAGTCATAACTCTCTTCCAACTAACACTTTTAATTGTTATAAGTATTTATTAATCTTCTTGTAATAGGTATGGAGATCCTGAAGAACCAATTTTGCATATGTTGAGGGATTGTAATAAGGCCAATATCATATGGAGCATTCTCCAATTTTCATTATATGCAAATGATCATCAAATAACTGTTGCTACCTAGTTGCAAAGTCATTCTATTGGTTTGAGAGGGGTTCATTTTGTTGTGATAACATGATACATTTGGAGGTTTAGGAACATTGAAGTATTCTAGGATATAGTGTGGTAACATTGATTTATTATAAATCAAATTCAATGCTTGATTAGTGACATTAATCAAATGGTTGTGGTTTCATCTTCTCAGTATCAAGACTTCATGATAGGTTAGAATCCACCTCCAAAGCACTTTATTAAGATGTATAAAAATGGTAGCTCCAAAGAAAACCCAAGTTTTCCCCCCAATTTTTTAGGAGTTTTTAGAGATCAACTTGGGAATTAGATAAAGAGATATACATGCTCATGTGATTTTACTTCAAATACAAATGCGAATTTATTAACAATTTTTCATGGTTTATTTATAACTCAACAACATGATTTTCTAAATATAGTGCCTGAATCATATTCACAAAGTGACAATTTCTCTTATCAAGCAAGGAGAGAGTTCCACTAACTCACTTTTAATTTCTAAATTTAGAGTTTTACCCAATTCTATCACGAAACCTTTATTTCTATCATATTTATCGTAAAAAATATAAAATAATAAATTCTCTTGTTAAAATTGAGATTATCTGGTTTAACACTTTAATTGTGTGATCTTCTTATTCTACCCGTACATCTTTGTTGTTGCTAGAGGATACGATGAAGACTTTATGTTTAAGAAGTATTTAATTTATGTTTATCTTTTCTTTTGTTGTTTCTTTTTCCCACTAATTAAAAATATATATAAAAATAAAAGTTATATTAATTTTTTACAAATTAAAATTAATTTATACATTTATTTTAAAATTAAATAAAAAGATGTATATAAATTACTTTTAGCTTCTATATTAAAAAAATAATCATTTTAATTCTAAATTTTTTCTTTAAATTATTAAAAAAATAGACAGCAAATTATTTAAACCATTACCAAACAAACACTACCAGAACAAGAAAATAACTTGAGGTTCTTACTAAATAGAACACATACTGATGATACAAGAGTAGCTTATCTGCAACAGCCACACTGTGACACTGTTACAGTCGCAGATGGAGAAGGTGGTATCCGTTACCGGCGGGGGCGGCTGCATTGGTTCATGCCTCGTCCATCTCCTTTTAGATCGCGGCTACACCGTTCACGCCACCGTCCAAAATCTCAGTTACCATCCCCACACACTTTCATTTCATTCATTCATTTTCATTGTGACCTTTCTAACTTCACTTTTTTTACAACAGACGATGAAGCCGAGACCAAGCATCTTCAATCCCTTGACGGAGCCTCCACCCGCCTCCGCCTCTTCCAGATGGATCTCCTCCGCCCCGACTCCGCCCTCGCCGCCTTCCGCGGCTGCACCGGCGTCTTCCACCTCGCCTCTCCCTGCATTGTCGACCAAGTCCACGACCCCGAGGTCCCAACCCCACAAACTAACTTCTCTTAAATTTTCAATCTTTTTCGCTTTTTACTAAACCCCATTTTGGTTCCGTACGCAGAAGGAGCTTCTGGACCCGGCGATCAAGGGAACCCTGAACGTGCTTGCGGCGGCGAAGGAAGCAGGGGTGCGGCGCGTGGTGCTCACGTCCTCCATCTCCGCGATTACGCCGAGTCCCAATTGGCCCAGCGATGTTGCCAAGACGGAGGAGTGCTGGACCGATGTTGAATATTGCAAGCAAAAGGGGGTTAGCGAGGATTTCTAATCTTTCATTTTCATTTTTTTTTTTTTGTGTTTTCTGGATGTGCTTTAAGTGTTTGTGTTTTTGTGTGTGTGGAACAGTTGTGGTATCCTTTGTCGAAGACTTTGGCTGAGAAAGCGGCTTGGGATTTTTCCAAGGAGCATGGGTTGGATGTTGTGGTGGTGAATCCTGGGACTGTGATGGGTCCTGTTATTCCTCCGAGGCTTAATGCGAGCATGATCATGCTCGTGCGCCTTCTTCAAGGTAAACTAATATAGGTGGCTAATCAATTGGTTTTAGCAATTTTTTCTTTCTAATTTTGCTGTAGAACTGTCTTTGGTCTTGGTGGGTGGGCTTGATTTGTTTTCTTTTTCTCTTAATATTGACTATGTGAATTAGGGAACTCCTCAAATTTAATGGTGGTCTTACCGAAGTACTCCATCTAAGAGCCATCGTGGCATTGATTGTGAGGAGAGTAGATTATATGATTTGTACTTGTTTAAAGGGCACACTAGTAATCTTATTGTATCCTGAAGGCTGAACGAAAACTCCTAGCGAATATTCTGGTGAGGGGGAGAGTACCTGCAAAAGGCACTCTGACGCTCAAGTCAGGACAAACACGAATATCGATAGTAATTAATGAGCAGTGACATTATCTCAAGATGTGAACTATTTATAATGACATTAATGGACCTTGCCTTCCATGGATCCTGTACTAGGGTTATTTGATTAGGCAATACGTCCTTAATCAGTGTGCACGTATGATTAACCCCTAACCATTGATTAAGGGTAGTTACCTGCATAACTTGTTTTCCTCAGGCCTTTTCGGCCATCGGGAGTGCCGATAGGGTGTCGGTCACCAGAAACGACAGGTTATGCCAAACTTGTGCGGACTTTCTCGACAATCGGGCATGCTGATATGGTGTGTATCTCTCAGTCATCGGCCGGGCCGACCTGGTGAGTATCTTTCGGTTACCGGCCATGCCAATGTAGATGTTTGGGTATGTATTTGGACATAAGCCTTTCAGCTGTGTGCCGTGCCGAATGATGCATCCGAATGACGCGGCCAAATGGTGTGGTCGGACGGTCATCTTGTACATGATTTTTAGTCATGTGATAAGGGTAGATTATACGATGTTTAGTCATGTGAAAAGGGTAGATTATATGATGTTTAGTCATGTGAAAATGGTAGAGGGAGGCTAAGAAAGACATTAGAAGTTATTAAAAAAGATCTTGCGGAGTACCTAAGAATTTGATAGGGTGTTATGCGGCTCATGTAACTGAGTAACCGAGCTCACCTAGTGGAATAAAACTTTTAGAGGAATGCTAGCTACACTTTTTGATATTTTCTTTCTAACACTTCTTATTATTGGCTGAAATTTATTAGAAATCACATATTTTAGTAGGTCTTGCATCTCAAATTCTCAGGTAATGATAATTTTGTTCGGTGTTATGCAACTCATGTAACCGAGTAAACAACCTCACGCAGTAGGATAAAGCTTCTATTGTTGTTACCAAAGTATTCAAGAAAGTTGGCCTTGGTGGAGATTCATTTTATAAGATCTGCTGTGTAGAGGGTAGGATAGCTTGGTAGTACATTTGTTGGATAATGTTGTGGCCTTTTCATAAGTTTTTTGCGCTCTACCTTTGTTGACAAATACTAATGTTGAACTAGTATGTAACATATTCCCAATTTATAATTATTAGGGGGCCACTGAGACTTTGTGAAATTTTCTTTGTTGTGTTGCAGGCTGTACTGAAATGTATGAGGACTTTTTTATGGGATCGGTCCACTTTAAGGATGTAGCATTGGCCCATATTTTGGTGTATGAGAACCAATCAGCGGCTGGTAGGCATTTGTGTGTTGAAGCTATCTCTCACTATGGTGACTTTGTGGCGAAAGTTGCTGAACTTTATCCCGAGTATAATGTGCCTAGGTAAGTAAGCCACACACTTGATAGATTTATTGGCAATGGTAATACAATGCAATAATCTTTTGGTAGGTAATTAAGGAATTAGCCATGTTGCTTGCTTCTTGGATGGGTTTGTTGAAGAAACTGGTTATTCTTATTTGAACACCAAACAATTTGGAGCTATGGTTTTCAGTCACGCCCTAACTAATCTAACTTGTGTGCCATCAATCTTTAGGCTGTGGTTTCTTATATAAGTTATGAACTATTCTTTACCCTACATGGCTTTTGCTGCAATGGATAGTGCATGCTGTATAGTGTACACCTACAGCATTTGAGGCTGAATAATTATTTGACTCATCTGAGTCATCTGGATATTGTCGTCTTTATCAAAATATATGTTTTGTACAATGCTACTAGTGATCATTCAATACTAAACTTATACTGTGTCATTTTCCTTTAAAGGATTCAACGAGATACCCAGCCGGGATTATTGAGAGTCAAGGATGGGTCAAAGAAACTTATTGATTTGGGTTTGCAATTCATTCCAATGGAGAAGATTATTAAGGATGCTGTAGAGGATTTGAAGAGCAAAGGGTTCCTTTCTTAAATGCTAATGCTGCTGTTACTTGTAACCAGAGTACTGATGGGTGATGTTTGCATTATGAATACTTATGGCACATGAGTTGAGCCTGTATAATCTTTTTTCCTCGATGCCTATTGCAAAATGATTCTCACACGATATGTATTGTCAATATGATACTTTCTAGGTTTTTATAATAAACTTTTTCATTAACTCTTCTAGTAAAAAGATAAAAAAAAAAAGAAGAAAAAACTGAAACAATTCATAAACCAAAATTAGTTTCTCCAAAATTAGAAATTAATTTTTAGAGAATGTAGATTTTTTACAAATTAAGAGAGGTTAACCACCGCGCTTGGACTCCCACACTATAAAGTCTTAACAATAAGAGCAACTACAATATTAATTGCTTATAAGCAACAATCTAAACTTTTTATCCAATTTTAAATGGTCTCTGCAATGCTGCATCACTCCTATGTAATGTAACAAGTTAAAAAAAAATTTACATGTTTTTTTTCCAATTGAAGGGTCTTATAAGTTATATATGCTTTTATATTTTTTTTTTATTTACATTCCATTTTATGACAACTTAAAATATTAATTTAATGTAGATGCGAATATTCTTTTTGTATCAACATATAAAATGAAAATTTCCCTTAAAAAATAAAATGAAAATTTAACATCTTTAAAAAAATTAATAATAAAATCTACATTTAATTATTTTAAGAACTTACACTCTGCTCATTCACACTCACACTGCTCTAATAGTATTCCGCATAAAGTTAAAACGAAACACTCTCGCTCGCGCTCGTAGTTGGTTACGCAACCACGCCGCCAAATGGCGGGGCGCAAGCACCCACACTCCTCCCTCACGCGCCATGACGAGACGCGCCTCGCGTATTCCTCCCCCGCCGCCGCCCGCACCCTCGAGGAAGGCGTCGAGGCCC